GAGAGAGAGAGAGAGAGAGAGAGAGAGAGAGAGAGAGAGAGAGAGAGAGACCAGTGGTCCTCTTGGAAGTTCTGAGGAAACACACAAGATGGCTCAGAATGCCAAGGTTTATGCAAATGAAGGCTGCCGCATGAAACGTTTCTGGATGTTTGAAAGGAAGACATAAAAAGCCATTCTTCACTGAAACAACAAACAAAACAGAAGCACGGAGTCAGGCTGGAAATTTTAGTTTGCTCAAAAAACACTCAAATGTTTTCTTATTTTCAGTCTTTTTAATATTTGATTAGAATTACTACGAGTTTATGTTGGATGTTTTCTAAGTAGAGTCCAGCAGGAATGTGAAACTTTGTAACAATCTAAACTATGACAAAACCTAATTCTAATTTTGAAGACTAGCTATGGCCTTTGTACAGGAACACTCAGTGGAGGAAAGAGGACAATAAAAAAACTTAGTCTTTAAATGTGGGTCTTTATTTAACCTCCCCAAAAAAAGTCAATAAAAATGCCACAAAAGTCAAAATACAGTGAATGGGCCCATAAAAGAGGTCAACTTAATATTACTCTACTTGAAAAGGGACTTAAAGAACATCAACTAAGAGAACCAATTATATACAACTCAAGTCTGCAAACTGACCTTACACAAAGACACAGAAGGGTAACTCAGAGATTGGGAGAAACCATTGCAATAGGGGAAACTAAACTAAACATAAATACTAAGGACCAAAAATAATTAACTAAACCTAAAACACCCCCCTTGCTGACAAGTACATACTTGGTCCTACCTTGGTTGAGCTGGCATTGTGTTTTCAGGGTCCTCACCTCCTGCCCAAACAGGAAGCAGGCAAATACACAAATGAGGGGGCTGCGTCCTTTGATTGACCTGGACTACCTGGTCTATATGGGCCAGGTACTTTGTTGTCCGCGAAGACCAGAAGTGAGTGGCTGTGAATCTGGTTGGTCTAGCCTTAAATTGCTTTAGTCCCACCCATACCCCCCAATGTATGCCCAATCACCTACCAACTGTGACGGTGCTAAACAGCAGCAATGAAAATCAAAACTAGCAAAAAATATATATATTTATAATATTCATTTACAAAAAAATAGCTTAGAGGCGCTACACGAAAAGAACCCACCATACAAGCTTGTTACGATGATTTCTGACAAGAATAATATTTAAAAACATGTCTATGTAAATGGCAAAAGCCTAACAACACAACTTTAAATGTTTAACTTTTGTACTGCCAGATTTTTGTTTAACATAAAAAATAACCCATTAAACAACAGAAAATCTGACACATGTAAACACTGTACATACTGTATATACGCCTTCCAGTTTTTGCCTTTAGAACAAACTTTTTTCTTTTTGGTAAAGCTACAACAAAATGTGTAAATTTGTCGGATGCACATTTATGATGCACATCTCCTGTTCCACCACACCTGAAAGGTTCAGAATTAGATCTAGTGATGACAGAGGCCACTGAAGTCTAGTCATGTCCAGTTCATTGTCGTGTTCAGGAAACCCATTTGAGATGATTTTAGCTTTGTGACGTGGCACTCAAGCCTCTGGAAGGAACATCAGAAGACTGCTACACTGTGGTCATAAAGTGATGGACATGTTCAGCAATAATACTCAGGTAGGCTGTGGCATTTAACCCAGACTGAATTGGTTCTAAAGGACCCAAAGTGTGCTACGAAAAATATCCTCCCCATTCATTACACCAGCAGCAGCCTGAACTGACACAAGGCAGGATGGACCTATGCTTTCATTTTGTTTACAAGAAAATCTGACCCTACTATCTGAATGTCGCAGCTGAAATTTAGTCTTCTCTGACCAGGCAGCATTTTTGTTGTCCAATTTTGATGAGCCTGTACAAATTGTGGTCTCAGTTTCTTGTTTTTAGCTGACAGGAGTGACACCTTGTGTGGTCTACTGCTGCTGAAGCCTATTTGCTTCAAGATTTGACATGCGGTTATTTAAGACACTCTTGCCTTTTTATCATCTCCAGTCACTCTTCCAGTTCTCCTCTGACCTCAAATAGGCCTTTTTTCACCCACACAACTACTTTTCACTGGATACATATGTATGCTTATTTTATTAACCTTTTTTTTAACCAATCCCATTGAGATCACAGATTTATTTTGCAAGGGACGCCTGAACTATATGTATCACAGGACACCCTTTGAGTCAAAAGTCACAGGACACCCTTTTATTCTGACCCATTAAGGCTGCTTTCAAGGTAGCAGCCATGTCTATGACACAAAAAAGAAAGTTACCTACTGCAGTTTTAATTAAATGAAAAAAAAAAACCTGTTAATGCACTTATCATTGCACGTTGTGTTTTTTCAACCTAAAAAAGAATAAGAACTTTGCCATTAAAAATTGCAAAAATGTGTCCATCTGTAGCAATCTCTAAAGGCTGCAGTCCAAAATTAAATACACTAATTTTTAAATTGCAGTTCTGGGTCACACAAAATCAGTTACTCTAATTTGGAAAGCAGCAGGACCTGACATCAAACTGTGAGCAGATATGAACTAAACATGACAGTTCTGTTGCTTCCTAATGAGGACATATTTAAAAAAATAAACAAGTTGTGTTAACGTCTGTTTTAATCTGACAGATTGTTCAGATTTTCACATTTTCTTGCAGTTGCAGCCAATCATATAACTGCTCATAGAAGACATTAGATAAAATTATGTTTTACAGAACATTTAACTTTTTAAAGAACAGTATTGTTTTCCTGTCTGTGTTTTCTATATCAGAGAAGTCATGAGGCCCTTGTATGTAAAACCTCCACATGTGTACAAATACTTTCGCTGGTAGCGACTCATTCAATAACTAAAAGTTGTCACCACAACATTCCTCTGCTCGTCTCTCTTTGAATGCAAAATAACTGCTAACTCACAATAAATCTAATGAAATGGTATTCTTACCACAGACATGACCACATATGGAAAATACTTTTTTTAATATAAAGTTGCTGCATGGTTTTGGGAGCTTGTTATCTGCATGAAAGCATTGCATTCTGGGTGAAAAAAAGCTCACAGTCAGACAAAACAGAGAGAATGGAAGATGTGTTACAGACTCTGGAGGAAAATGTCTTGAAACATATTTGTTTGAACAAGTGTCTCCTGCAGTCAGATTAAAACAGCCGAGCTGCTGTTTGACTTCAGCCACTACAATAAACCCTAAATGAGCTGAACATGCACAAACAGCCACACACCTCTAGGAGAGACTGTTTGTGTATGTACATGTTTTTGCTACCCAGAGGGGACAATTTTTGACCATTTTCTCAGTGCACACAGCCTGGATAGGACCCACTGTTCCTTATGGGGACAAAAGCCTGGTCCCTATTAAGAGGAAAGCTGTTACCTGAGTGAGTCAGGGGTTAGGATTAAGGTGTGAATTGAGTTTAAACTTTAGGGTCAGGTATGTACTGGGGTGGTTAGGTTTAGAATAAGGGGTCAGGGTCAGGCTATAGAAATGACCAGTAAATTAATGGAAGTCAATGCAAAGTCCACTTGGAGAGAGCAAACGTGGGAAGTCAGAGTGATTAGAAGTGCCTCCTCGTCAGTCCAAAATAAGAATGGTTTTTAACTGCAAACAGCAACAGACACACATCAGAATTAAACTTTTTCTGTTGTTAAATACGGACATGTAAGTGAGCCTTCATACATAATTGTGTAAATTATGGGCCTAGCAATATCTGTTGCTTTTCATGCCACTGTTATAAATTTTCATCACCTTATGATTAGAGGGAATGGAATTAGAGCCGTTAGTGGTGTCTCAATACCAGAATTGTACTAGTACAAAATCAAAACTGATAAATTACCTGTATCGATACTAAAATGAATGTGTTACAGTTTGCATTTTTGGGTGAAAAGTCTGTCAGTTTCTTGTTTAAGAAATTTTAAAAAGTTGAAAGAAAATATCAATAGTTTTTTTCATTTGTTTAAAAATGTTGCAACAGTATA